ACTGATGTAATTGTGAATTTGTCCAAAACTGATATTGACATATTTTAATGTCTTTTTATTTTACTATTATCTGGCTATACCAATTAATTAAGTTTTTTTAGACTCCTTATGTGGATTTACATGTTGCCATGATTTATAATTTGTTTGCTGATCTGTGAATAGTTTTTTTTCTCTTTTGATTTCCTGACGTAGTAGCAATGTAAAATTCACATTTGGATAAACATGTTGTTAAAAAAATATCTCAAATTAACTTTCTTTGAGAGGTGGGACCAAGTCATTATTTTGCAAGTCACAAGTTAGTCTATAGTCTTTAAACTCAAGTCCTAAACTTTGAGTTTTGAGTCCTAAATTAGTCACAATGCACTCTTCACCAAATGTAAAAAAACTTGACAACAGAATAACGTTATATATTGAGTTTATAAAAATCATGAATCCTTTTTAAAATTTTGTATTTATTTGTTAAAACATTTTTTTTAAAACAAATGCGACTGAACTTCCTCATAAAAAAAGTAGTGTTGCATTTTTATATCTAAACGAAATACAATTATTAGCTTTAATGTTAGTTGATTCAGGAAATGAAGGAATGTAAACTGACTTGTGGCATACTTTTTAATATTTGAGCTTAAAGAAAGGTATGAAGTGTTTTCAAGTAACTAATCATTGGTGTTAAAGTCATTTTTGATTTTGTCAAATCAAGTCTAAAGTCATCAAACTTGTGACTCAAGTCCAAGTCATGTCAATGCGCTCCACACTACTGCTATCTTTATTATACTGCATATATTGTACTTGTGTGTGTGTGTCATCAGGAGCTGTGTGTGGTTGTCCCTCACAGTGACAGCTGGACAGACTTTGTGTCAACAATTTAGGGTGGTTACATCGAGCACAAACCATAGAGACCTCTGTTTGTGGTTTGTGTGTGTGTGTGTGTTAGACAGAACTATGTAGTCAGGGGCGCACACACTGACAGTTGATGGACAAATTTACTTGCTTTGTGAGTGTGCATGAGTGTGTGGTCATTTGTCCTGATACACAAACATGAGTGTGTCGTTTTTGTGGCTTGCTTCACAGGTCATTAACAGCTCTTATCACCTCTGCAGCCCTCAATGCTGGACTCTAGATGTGTGGCCTGTTGATAGTAATACAATTAACTCAACACAAACTGCTGAATGAAGTGATTTGGATTAACGTGTTTGAGACATCATAATCATTAGATTCATATTTATCAGTGCTTTAAGGCAGTAAAAGTGCAATAACCAAATCATAATGTGCTGGAAATACACTCCTGATCTTTACTATCCAGTGAGTGTTTGGACGCTTGTAAAGATGCCAGCTAACAGAGATAAGCGGATGTGTCTAGTTAATAAACAATTTACCCATGATACTTCAAAAGTGTTGAGATTACGCAGCAGCTTTGATGCTTGTTTCCACTCAGAGGGTCATCTATTAAAATGCTCTCAGTAGTAGTAAGTCCTGTTAAACCTGTGTGTCTGATGTGCTTGTCTGCTGGTGGGCAGCTATGGGTGTGTGTGTGTGTGTGTGTGTGTGTGTGTGTGTGTGTGTGTGTGTGTGTGTGGTGGCATGCCTTTACACATAGAATTTTTTTTCCGTGGCGTCTGTCCGTGACACACCCTTTCCAGGGTTCAGCCCATCCTCTGCATGTGTGTGTGATCCCATGCTAGCAGCTGGTGGGCTCTAAAAATAGTGCGGGTTGGGAAAAGAGAAAGGAAACAACTTTCGTGTAAATGTCTAAAATCTAAGTATCTTAGAAAGATAAGATTTTGCCTTCATCTAGCAGTATTTAAAAATTGACACATCACACTATGTGGGTTATAATTGGTGCTGCATGTATTGCATAGTCGATCTCAGTTGGTTTTCATCAGCACCGCCCTTGTCTTTTTCTGCCCTGTGAATGCTTTACATATGTCCATGATCTTTTGATCCGCCATGATTGGTCATTTTTGGATCCACTGCTGACTGGACTCCTGGACTCCCTTTGTGCAGCTCCTTTCCACCCCGAGAAGCAAATAATTCTCGGAGTGCTGACTGTATTGGTGTGCTAATCTGCCACAGTTTACTTAGTCGCGAAATAGCTGGGCTTATGTATAGAATAGGTGATGAAGTCTGGTGTCAGTCATCGCGTAAAAGCCTTATTGCTGTCAGTGTGTAGTTTGTGTGTTTAGGCGTGAAATGAGAATGAATACATGTCAATGAAAACGTGAGTGTGTGGTAACAGATTGTGTCAGAAACCACTTGGTTACAGACTCATTTAAAGTGACCTTATACAACTGGTGCACTTTTTGGACTTAGCATTGAGTGTGTGTGTCTTAAGGTAAGAAAAACTCATAGACTTAAATGTCTACTTTGTAGGATTTAAGGGGATATATAAGCAGAAATGGAATATCAAATAATAAGTATGTATACACATACACAGCATACACAGCATCATGTCAGTGTGCATTTCTCTGCCATGCAGGATGTGGGTATTTGAGTGTGTGTGTAAACTGTCAGCTGATGGATGTCTAGCAGCAAGTGGGATCACAGTGTTTTCCCGACCTACAGGGAGAGACAGGTGTGGAGCGCTGCAGAGAAATAAACACACAGTAGCTGACAGATACTCAGCACTGCGTTGAATGAGCGCCTCCATTACAGCACATTACAGCAGCCCAATTCACAACAGCTGCTGCTTAATGTCACTGTCCTGCAGAGTGACTTGTTAATGTGCATTTGTCTCTGTGCTTTCTGTCGCTCTGTTGCCACCCATGCATTGTGATTTGTGCCCACTACAGATGTAGCAGTAGTTTGGCTGCACTGAACTAACTGACCCTCATGTTGTGTCCCATTGTGAGTTATTCGTCCTAGTGCAGTTGGATTTGACCTCCAGTCTGGTTAGCAGTTAGCCTGAGACTAGTATGATGAGCTGGCCTGTCCACACCCTGCTCTGATCGACTGTGCGTCTGTGTTTGCGTGTGTGTGAGTTCAGGGTCCTGAGAAATGACCTCATCTGTGTCTGAGAGTGACAGGGCACCTGTGGCCGAACTTCATCATGACTCTTTCACCCCCAAACCCCACACACATACACATGACACACTCATGTGCTTGGTATGGTGCAGCAAAGCTGTGCAATCCGACCCATCTCCCTGCCCCGCATCAACAGTATTATCCCCCCTGCGAGTTTCATCTGGCCTCACCACCTGTTGTCAGCTGTATTTCACCCAGCCCCGTGCCTTCTGAAGCCTATAGCCTTCTGTTTCCCTCCATAGGCACCAGAGCTTACAGTTGTGCCAGAAGTAGGTATGAGACCAGACCCAACGCTCCCCAGGGGCAGAAATCCTAGACTGATCCAATTACTCCCAGCCAGGGCTTAAATCAGCCCGAATCTGCTCGGACTTGCAATGACTTAATTCAATCTAGCGGTAAAAGTGTTACAAAGTACACAAGTCAAGCTGTTAAGCTGCAGCGTAGAGAGCAGAAGAGATAGGATAGGGTCCAAGCAGAATTGGGTTGAAGTTGTACTTAGAAAATATTTACAGCAAAGATTCATTCATGAGCTCCATTCAGGTTATAATGGCGGGCCCAGATGCTACTAACTGCTGTAGTTTAGGGTAAAGTTAGCAGCTCTCTCCTGCTCTGTTGAATTGTGGGAAGCTTTCCTGAAATGACGTTGCCATGTTGTGGTAGCAAGAAAAGGCCTATTTCTATTTTCCTCTTAAAATACTGTACGATGATATTAAGTCTTGCAATACAAAAACAATACCTTTGTTTTCATGCCTTTTACATGGATCAGCAGGTGAGGATGCTAATGTTTTAGCCAGAGACCTGTTAGCTTTAGTCAAAATTATTTCTTGTATCATTAAAAAGCACAGAATAGCATTATGTCATTTATATGGTCATCAAATTAAAATTTCAGACCATTTTGCAAGTTTCTCATTTTCATAAAATCCAGAGGGAGAGTTTTCAACCAGCTCTTGGAGCTAATGCTAACTAGCTAACGTTAGCTAGCTACAGCTAAAATGTCCTGCTTTCGCACACTTAATGTTTAAAAAATTGCCACAGATTTTGAGTGGTAAATCTGCCATTGTGTTGTCTTGGTGCTTAATTTTAGATACCGTAATTGTTTGACTTTTATAACAAACATTTTAGTATTCATATTTTGGTATAGACATCAACAGGTGAGGATGCTAACTTTTTGGCGTGGGACCTGTTAGCTTTAGATTTAATTCTTTACACAGCACAGAAGTAGCAGTGTATTATTTATGTAGTCATGAAATGGATATTTAAGACCCTTTTGCAAGTTTCTCATTTTCATATGTCAGACAGAAACATAAAAAAGTCATCCAGAGGGAGAGTTTCCAACCAACTCATTGGGCTAATGCTTACTAGCTATCTAGCTAGCTACAGCTAATAAAATCTCCCAGCAACAAAACAGCATGCTTTTGCAACAGGCAGTCACGTCTATGCAAGTGTCAGTTTACCTATTAGTCTGTAAATATGTGGCAGAAATATACACACCCTATTACAGAAAGGAAATCATTACTTTTGCATTGTAGTGCGGATCAATAATTAGTTGTTTTTGCACAGTCCATGTTTCCTTTTCTGTCAGATGGACTTGACATTGACATTTCTGAACTATTTTACTTTTAGTTGCAACCTTGGACACACCTTCTGCTTTCAAGTGTGTGTTGTTGCTGGCGTTATCTGCTTTGTTGATATGCACCGTGTCACAGAAAGCACTCACCTTGCTGAAACCTGGCCTCGTATCTAAGGACACACTGGGCCTCATGTCTCCATTATATTTAGCATTTTAGACTGAATGACACCATGCTTAGTATTACTCTATCAGACTGCAGGTTACTGCTGTCAATTTAAAGATTTTCTTGATATTAAACTATGAAATTTTCTGTTCTATATCAACCTGTTGCTTTGTTACCCCTTACTGCCATTCACAGCTACCAACGTGCACAAGTGTGTAAACGAAAATGTCTGCTCTTTCATTCTTCCAGATGGTCTCCATACTGTTACGGCCCTCTGCACGCTGCGAGTCACTATCATCACTGATGACATGTTGACCAACAGCATCACGGTGCGTCTGGAGAACATGTCCCAGGAGCGCTTCCTCTCTCCCCTGCTCAACCTCTTTCTTGAGGGCGTGGCGGCTGTGCTCTCCACCAAACGGGAAGCGGTGTTCGTGTTCAATATTCAAAACGACACCGACGTGCAAGGCTCCATCCTCAATGTGACCTTTTCGGCACTGCAGCCCGGAGGTGCCCCTGGTAAAGGGACGTTCTTCCCCTCTGAGGAGCTGCAGGAGCAGATCTACCTCAACAGGACTCTGCTCAGGCTCATATCCTCTCAGGAGGTAAATGCACATGTACACATTAACTAAAGTGCAAAATATTAAATTCTCCAAAAACTGAACTAGCATTTTAAGGCTGAGATTTCTTCTCTCTCCAGGTGTTGCCGTTTGATGACAACATCTGCCTGCGGGAGCCCTGTGAGAACTACATGAAGTGTGTGTCGGTGCTGAAGTTTGACAGCTCCCCTCCCTTCATTGCCTCCAACACGGTTTTGTTTCGGCCCATCCACCCCATCAACGGGCTGCGCTGCCGCTGTCCACTCGGTTTCACTGGGGACTACTGTGAGACGGAGATCGACCTCTGCTACTCAGGACCCTGCAAGAACAATGGGAGATGCCGCAGCAGAGAGGGAGGGTACACCTGCGAGTGCCTAAAAAAAATAAAAAGAAAAAAAACGAGATCTACACTAAATCATTGCAATTAAAGGAATTTTCTTAAGAAACAAGTCAAAATATATGATGTAATTATTCAATGTATCTACTTAGACCCTATTACAGACTAAGTGACTTGTTCTGATGGACATTTTTTTGCAGTTTGTGGCATATAGTTCCTGGTTGAAACCCCTTGATTGCACCAATACTGGCAGAGTTTGGTGATCTTGATTGCTTTTGTAGCTTGCATCTCATTGGAGAAACATGGGGAGGCTATCAAAGTAAAAAAAAGCAATTACTTCTAATATATCTTTATTTGCATTATTTTGTATGTTTCTCTTAACTAAACTATATGGTACCTAACACAAGTTACACAAAGGGCATAATAGTCCCTGTGTATTAAAGCTACCACAGAGATAAACTCTTTTATAAGTATGTGGGCTTATATTTTTTTTCTGACAAAGGCTTTAATGACTGGTACAAAATTGCCAAACCGCACTGACAGGTTGTTAAAGCTCTCAGCACCTATTGTTGTCGCTTGAGGTCGACCCCAGTGCAGGAAGCAAAAACATGCTTTGTGATACAGTAGGTATAGCCAACTGCGCACACACACACATGTACACGCATACAGTAGATTTCTTGCTGTATAGAGGTGTACAGAATGCAGATTATACTGGTCAAACCACATCTCGGATATCACTTAACTCCTTCACTAAAACCACATAAACTTTAAAAGCTAAAAAAAAAAAGAATGCAATACAGTACAAGCAGATAAATCTTCCTTCTTAGTATAACTTACTAAAATTTTTCCCCTTTAATCTATGTTGTTTCCATGCTACTTGAAAGTAGTAGCACCCATGCCTGTTGATTCAAAGTATTGACTCTGTCTTTGTTTTTAGAGAAAAAAGACATTGGGAAACAGGTTTTTGGGATCTGTAAAGACTGTTGGCAAGTAAACAGATTTTCAGTTAATCCTCATAAATCATTGCGCTAAAATGGAGACACTTTGTCAAGACTCAGCAGATCAGATGTGAAAGGAATGTATTCAATACTTGGTTAGACTTTAAAGGGGACCTATTATGCCTTTACTTATCTTCTATTAATTATAAAGTGTTGCAGTGTGGCCAAAGTTTCAAGTAATGAATTTATGACGTATGTAAAATTTATGACTACTCTGAATACTTTTTTTTGCTACTTTCAAGACAAGCCGATGTAAGACGGATTTGTTAATATGATCATCTGCTCCAGGCACACTACTGCAAGTACGTACATTACGTAGCAGTGACTGCTACATGTAGCTACATGCTAACATAGAGAACTTTGGAATCAAATTCCTGCTGAAACACGCCAGGTTGTGAAGATTTTGGTTTAGAAGCTTTTATGGGTGATTTTTCACAGTAGAAAGTGTTGCTTTACTCCTTTACAGTCATTAACCAGGCTGCAATGACTATGCAGAGACACCAAGATTTGCAGGACCTGGAAACACTGACCACTGACCAATCAGAGACAGTGTTTTTTGGGAAGGGAGGCTCAAAGAGAGAGGCACTAAAATGGAGCGTCTCAGATAAGGGGTGAATACGGGTGTTCCAGCAAAGACAGTATAGGAAAATAAAGTGTTGATAAAGGTCGATTTCCAGTTTTGCCGTTACTGGTCCGGTGTACAAACTTAAAATGGTTTGAATTTATGCAAACAGACTGAACCAACATTTGTCACTATGGCACATTCTTGCAAATTAACAGTCTACATCAGCAACCTGACGGCACAGCAGGGCTAAATCCAACTCTTATTGCATCAGTAATAAACAAAATGACAGTGGGAATAACATTATATTACGTATGTTTCTTTATATACGGACTAATGCAGCAACTAGTGTCTGACAGGCAGTACATGCTGTGTTTGTTTATTAGAAAGTTCATGTGTTTTTGGGGGTGATGAGAGGAGACATGGAGGTCTCTCAAGAAAGCAAAACCGCACCAATATGGCAGCATTTTGGATTTGAAGCCTATAAAAGAGGCATCCTAATTAATCATGAGAGATGTAGCCTTGCCGTTTTGAGCTGAACTTTTGTTGGACGCCATGTTTCTATTTAATTCTGTCGCTGGGTGTAAACACATGGCAGTGTACAAGGAATGGTTGATTCGTAAAGTTAAAATGAGCAGCAAAAACAAAATAAGGTGGAAGCTGACGACCACTGACCATTGCTAATAACAAGCTAGGCTACTCGCTGTTGGCTGTATTCTATGTCATTTTCATTAAATACCGCAATATAAAACGTGTGTTTTCTGCAGTAAGTAATGTTACAAACATGCGAAGTTAGCATGAAAGCTACTCACCCATCTTTTAGGCGATTACCTCTCCAGTCTGTCCTCGAGCAAACAGATGATATTGACGTGGTTTGTTTACATGACGTTACAGACGTGCATATTCAATGGCTTCATTGTGGACAGAGAGCTCCGATGTTATGTGATGTGACGTGATAGCTAGATGCTCGTTTGCTCTTGGAACTTAGTGTCATTATGTCCCACTGGGGAGTGGCTGCTGAGTCAAGTGCCACACCTGGTAAAATTCGGTACAGCGATCCAGTGTGGTGTTTGGCTTAATGTCAAATCAGTTTAAAATTTTTACACCAGCCCAACCCTAATTAAAGCGTGTAAACATGTTCCAGTACAAACCCAAAATGCAAGTATGAACCTGAAAATGAGCATAACATGTCTCCTCTAAGGATACAGACAATGTAGAGTGGGGAAAATGTGAACTTAATTGAATTGGTACTTTTCAGCTAAAACCAGGCTTGATTTCGAGAAAGGGTCAAGGAACCTTAAACTCTGTCTGGATGCTGCCACTTACAGTCACTCTGCGAAGCATTCACATGGCAGATGAGCCTCGGAAGCTTTCATCATTCCCATTGAAATCGCTTTCCGAAATATTTCCCGATGTCAGTGATCTTCCTCCCATATTTCCCCCCTTGTACATCTGATACCTGACTGTCTCTGCATCTCTGTCTCTCCCTAATAGAGCCTGACGGGCCTCTGACAGCCGTCATCCATCCTCTCTTCTGTGTCTCCCAACACTCCACCTCTCCTCTCCTTCTCTTCCTCTATCTTATCTGATGTAATTACCTGATTATACCTGCTTTTGTCACTCACTGGCCCTCTCTCGCCTCCGTCCCCTGCTCCCCATGTCCATCTTCTCCGCTCACCCATCATATTTTTCTTACCTACATCTCCTGTGTCCCCTCTTTGAAGGTCACAGTTCAACTCCAGATAGTCAGGGCCCATCAGGGGCCATTATGGGGCCGATGACAAGGGGGCCCGATCTGTCCTCCTTGGGTTTCCTACATTACAGGAAAACAGATCCTTATAATTCCCCCTCGGAAAAAAGGATTATGTCGAGGAGAGAAGGGCCATTAGCTGGTTCCAGGCTGTGGTGTTGGGGGTCTGTGTGTGTCCTGGGTGGAGAGATCTTGTCTGGACAGCAAGTTGACACACAACACTGCATGGGACACAGAGGCACCCATCACAAATAATATTCCAGTCAGAAAGAGGTCTGCTGGTGTATTAGTGGAGGAATTTACATGAGCTGAGCCAGGAAACTGAGCTCGAGCCACATGGTCGTTTAGGAGGAATTTCCCACTACAGTGATTAACTGAATTAGATAATATAATACACAGGGTACACAAGACCTCATAGAGCCGATCCAAAGTCCTCTTGTTAGCCTGGTTAGTTTGGCTGCAGGATTCAACCGTGCCTAGATCGACTCCCAGTAGGAAGCCAGGTAAAACAACACACAGACTGGTGTAGAGCCAAAATGGTGAGCCCAGGTCAATCAGTAGAGAACAGGCTTATGGCTGCAGGTGCTGCTCACCTCAACTGAGGCCATCGGTCAGTCACTGGAGGCACATTTCTGATATGATTTTTATATAATTGTGGGTAGCTGGCCATGCAGAGCTGACGTGACATTTCATTCTATTCTTTGCACATCTCCATTCCAATATCAGTTCAAATACAACGGTTGCACACCAGTATATGAAAAGTAAATATCAAAATCACTCTATGTGTTGGTGAAGATTCTCAGTCATCCAGGTCATGACAATCTTAAGTGCTGTATCCTGGGCAACTGGACTTATTTGAGTTTTTTGAAGACGTTTCACATTTCATTCAAGAGTCTTCTTGAGTTTGAGAACTGAAGAAGCCTCTTGGAGGAGAGGTGAAATGTCTTCAAGAACCTCAAGCAAGTCTAGCTGCCTACAGTATGGCACTTAGGATTGCCATGACCTGGATGACTGAGAATCTTCGCCAACCTATTGACAGAGTGATCTTAAGTGCTATATCATAGGCAACTAGACTTGCTTGAGTTTCTTGAAGACATTTCACCTCTCATCCAAGAGGCCTCTTCAGTTCTCAGACTTCTTCAGACTCTCGAATGAAAGGTGAAACGTCTTCAAGAAACTCAAGTCCAGTTGCCCAAGATATAGCATTCAGGATCACTCTGTCTAGTTTCTCTAATCTTAACAGTTCTTGAGAAGAGGTGGAAACACCTTGTGAATCTTGAGAAAGAAATTTCACATTTCAAAACTTCAACACTTGGTGTCCTCAGTTCCCAAACACTTACTGTGTTGTTAAAAGAATAGGTGGTATCACACAGTGGTGCCATGCCCCTGTCTCAACATTTTTTGCAGGCATCAAATTCAGTATGTATATATATATATATATATATATATACACACAAAAAACAATGAAGTTAATCAGTTTAAACATTAAATATCTTGTCTTTACACTGTATTCAATTGAATGCATCCTGTTTTTATTTATATCTTACATTGCCTGCCAACAATTTTGGAATCAGGGATGTAGAAATGTAGTGTATTTATTCTTTAACTTCATAAAACCAAAGATAAAGTGATGCCACGAAGGACTTATCTGATCTTGATAGGGTTTAAAACTATCTACATGAGTTCAGCCATGGATTTAACTTGATGGACAAATCTCTCATCCCTGTCACTCTTTTCTTATGTTCTTTTTTCTTTTCATCCACTCTCTGTAAAGTTTTTTTCCCTTGTCACGCCCTTTCCATGCTCCATACTCCTCTTTATCTCCCATCCTCTCTCTTTTCTCCAAATACGGCCAAATAACTCTACGGCTAAGACCTGTGCTTCCCAGAAAAGGCCTATAAACAGGGCTTTGTCTTTGTTGCTAATGCTTAGATGGAGATAGGCTTTACTCAAACTGGCATTTTAAAAGGGGCCTTAAGTAACATTATGTTAACACTGTTGTGTAAGTGAGCTTGACTTATAATCAAAAGCATCTTGTTAAAACAACTGGATTCCAAACAGATGATGCATCTGTATTTCAGTCAACGGTGGACAACTTGCTTCACAGAAAGGCTGAAATGATAATAAATTGATGAGATGATGTGATGACAGGTGATTTATCATTCACATTGCTTTGCACTGTTGTTGCAACACTTCATATCTACAGAAAACATAGTGTTGTCTAACAGACAGGGTGTAAAAATTTTACCAGTTCAAACCAGGGCAGCAGTGAAGGTGTCAACCCGGTACAAAAAACAACCAATGCAACACGGCTCACCTCTTAACCTGACTTCTCCTCTCTTCTCATAGGGGAGCACTGCGAGCTGAATGCATCATCAGGCCGGTGTGTGCCTGGTGTGTGTAAGAACGGTGGCAAGTGTGTCAACCGGCTTGCCGGTGGCTTCATGTGCCAGTGTCCACCAGGGGAGTTTGAGAAGCCCTACTGTGAGATGACCACACGAAGCTTCCCTGGACAGTCCTTCATCACCTTTAGAGGCCTGAGGCAGAGGTTCCACTTCACTGTCTCCTTCACGTGAGTTCTGTCCTTCCTTCTTCCCCTGTTGTTTTAATGTACCAATTAACTCAAAGTCCTACCTATCCATTACTTCTAAATAATTGTTTGTAGATGAAATTCAGTGCCGCTTTTGCATGCAACATGCCAAGACACACTAGGCAGGCATCGTGCGTATCCGTCTCCGACAGGGAAAAACCACAAGCACTCAGGCATGGACGGTACTTGGATTTCCTAGCTTAGCTAGCCTTGCTAGACCCACTAGGAGAGTGCCTCTTTCTTTACCGGAGCCATTCCGCTTCGCTAGTTAGCAAGCTAAACAGGCGAGTCGTTAGCTGGAGCTAAACTTTTTGGAATGGGAATTTGTTAGCGTGGCTAAACAAATAGTCATTAGCTAGGCTAAACGGCAGAGGGACAACTAGTTAGCAAGCTAAACACGCACGTCGAAACTGGTATTTGTTAGCACCGCTAAACAAATAACCGTTAGCCAGGCTAAACGAGAGAGCGGCAAGTTAGCAAGCTAAACAAGCGCAACGCAGAAACAGCCTTGATAGCGACGCCCTGGGTAGGGAGCAAGCTCACCTCCTGTGGACAGTTAAATCGCTAGCAAGTGTTCTGCAGTACTCAGGTTATGTGAGGTGAAGTGCAATAAGATTGAGGAAATGAGACTGTGCAGGGTATTTTATAGCCCCGAGGGAAGGCTTCCCCTGCATGCGACAGTCTCATTGGCCTTGACAGGCGTGTTGAAAACGTTTCTTCAGGTTGGTCTCGTGAGGACGCAATCCCCATACAAATGTGTTGTACTGAATGTACCGACCGAAAGGGAACTGACCATTTACTAAACCCTGTCCCCCTTAGCCACTGTTGCTACGCCTAATTTTTTACAATGATAAGAGTGGCAGATTTATTACTGGGAATTCTTAGTAATGTTTAAAACAATGGGTCCTTGATTTCAGTCAGAAGTAGACAGACGCAGGCTTCTCATTTCTCTTTCTGGCAACTGTCCATTTTTCAGGCTGTAGCTAACTGTTGCTGACAGATTTTATCGGCTAACGTTGGCTTAATATATTCGCTAACTGTAGCCGTGTCCAACTTGCGCTAAAACAAGAAGCTTGTAAAGGGGCTCTTGAATATGCACTTGATGGTGATATACATGATATTATGCTAAAAGACTGAGGCCAGTGCCAACAGGAGCTAACAGGTGCTAACATGCTAACCATTGCAGCTAACATTAGACATCACTCTGAACTCTTTAAATGAGTATTCCTGTTAAAAATTGGAATAGCCTTTAAGAATGTATTATTTACACAAAATATGTGTCATTAGCCACCAAATTCAAGTAACACATTTACTTTTAAAGCATATTCTAAAGGTTTAGATCGACAAAGTCTTGGCTGTCCTTTTTGTTTTTGCTGAAGCACACACCTTTTCACAGCAAAAGGTGTAAAAAAAACTTTCTGCATTCAAACCCATATTCAAGTAAAAGTATGCCAGAGATTTTTAAAGACTTTTTAGCTTTAGAAGAAGGAGAATTTTCTTAGGAACACACCAAGTTTATCACAAACATTCAAATTCAAAATAATCACTTTTTGAGATACATGATACATGATTTGAAAAGTAACTAGAGCTGTCAGTGCAGTTGCCTCAAATTTGTACTTAAGTACAGTACTAGAGTAAATGTACTCAGTTACATTCCTCCACTGTTCACAGCAGCAGCAGTGCATGTCTGTGATACTTGTAGCAGTGTGTAGTAAACAGTAATGTTGGGAGTGTGAGGAGCTGCATAAATAAACGCAGTTGCGTTCGGTGAGCTAAAGTGTGTCAACCAGGGCGTGCCGAGACATGTGCACGCTTTTCCATTGTGTCCCAGTTCCCTCCTCTCAATACAGAAGACACACTCTCCATCTGAGTGTGCAGCGTTATGAGGAAAACAACCCTCGCTCAGCAAGTTTGCGCCACAATAAATATTATGGAGAGAAAAACTTTTATCGTGTGTTTCATAACAGGTGAGTTGATTCAGTTCGTCGATACTGTGTCGGTGAGAAAGGTTTACAGTGCGGTGAAAACAGGAAAGGCTGTGTGATGAGTTTCCCTTATCAGTGTTTGGCTACAGCCATCCTGACTTCCTGCTCTGTCGGCCTCACTGGCATCTGCCGGCTGACTCCTCGCCCTCACCTTACACTTCTTACACACACACACAAACAGCTACACATGTGAACTTTGCACCCTCGTGGAACACACTCATGAGTAGGTATTCACCAGGTCTTTCTTCCTCACTCACTCGTGGATACGCTCAAGCATCATCTAAGGCAGGGGGACTGTTTCCTCTCTGCGGCCCTCCAGCTTTTACACTTCCTGCCTTTCCTTTCCAAGTGACTTTTCCTTAAGAGCTCCTCGGTCCTTTTGTCATAAAGCTATCTGCAAGGCTGTCAACCATTCAGTCCTGGTCTGTTTGAGTTGGATAGGTGCTTAGAAATGTGACAGGAAACATGAGCCAGAGAGGGGAAAACAGTTGGAATACACTCAACCCCTGTGTGACAAATCGTTTAATTTTTTCACTTTGTACTTTTAGATTGGATAAATGTTTCTGTTATATAGCAAAAAGCAACATCATTTTGTATCTCCATTTTTGGGTTGAAAAATAATTTAAAATCCCATCTGTCTCTGCAGGTTTGCTACCAGAGAGAGAAACGCTCTGCTTCTCTACAACGGCCGATTCAATGAAAAACATGACTTCATCGCTCTGGAGATCATTGACGAGCAGATTCAGCTCACCTTCTCTGGAGGTTAGGCCCCAGTGTGTGTGTGTGTGTGTGTGTGTGTGTGTGTGTATGTGTATGTATGCCGCTTAAAGTGATGGTTGTTGATATCAGCTACACTGTGAGTAGATTAACACAGGCGTAAGAACACTTTATCTAAAGTGACTTTCACAAAGAGCTGGCCTAATAACTCTTATCAACATGCGCTTTCTTTTACAAGGTGTGTGTTTTTGTGTGTGTGTTTTAGTGCATGCATGTATGCAAATGTACCCGAGTTTGAACATGTTTATTTGTGTGTGTATGTGTTTCTGTATGTGTTGGGAAGGGAGATGGGTGTGTTTTACTGTTTTTAAAAGCAGCTGCTTCGTCAGAGTGGGAGCTGCCAGGTTGATTGATGATGGCACAGACACATTACTGGCCAAAAAACACCAACTCAATACACACAAGCTTGCATGTGCACACACAAAGGCTAAATGCCCATGATCAGTGAATCATCAAAACTTTTTCACAAACAATGAAAGCTTTCAAAGCATGCATACTTACACACATAAAGTTCATGTGCAATCAAAGCAGTGGTTGAAGAAGCACTCAAGTCTTTGACCTTAGTAAAAGTGATAATACAACAGTGTAGGAATACTCTGTAACAAGTTAAAGTCAAAGTAAAAGTACATATGTATTAGCATCAAAAAGTACTTATGCTGAAAGGCCAGTGCTGGGGAAGGTACTTTGAAAACTTAACAAGCTACCAATGACTTCACACTGGAAGAAGTTGAACTATAGCAAAGTTGCAGTTGTGGCTCAGAGGTAGAGCAGGTCATCCACTGATCGGATGATTGGGGATTCGATCCTCAGCTCCTCCAGTCTGCATTTCAAAGTTTCCTTGGGCAAGATACTGAACCCCAAGTTGCTCATGATGACCCATTGGATGGTTATTGCCATGTATGGCAGCCTCGGCCACCAGTGTTTGACTGTGTGTGAATGAGTGAATGTGACATGTAGTGTAAAAAGGAAAGACAGAAAGAAAAGTACAGTCCATTTACCTGAAGTAGGAGTCTAGTTTGGTTAACTAAAACTACTGAGAAAAGGTAGTTCAAGCTACTTTGTAAAAAATGATCAAATTGACAATTTACATTTGATACAAAATTATAACAAAATATAATAGAAAAAAGTCACATGACAGCAAAAAAAATGCCACTCAGTTGAGTTTGTAAAAAGTGCTCACTTGTCCATAGGTCATAAATAAAGAAAAAAACAAACAAACAAACAAAAAAAACATATTCTTCAGAAAGCACATGGAATGTCAGCTTTGATTTCGTAGGTCCAGGTGGGAGTATTGCACCAAGATGGATTACTCAGTCAACCAAGTAACTTCTAAAATAGCCTGCAAGAACTTCTCTGAACATTTGTTAATGTTAATTGTTAATACTTCTGACTAATTATGGTCAAAGGCGGTTCAATCACAGTAGAGAAACAATGGTAAAATAAAAATGATTTCCTTTAATGGCCCAAAATTGCTTGTAGTTTCAGTAGTTAACCACACAAAATATGGCAAAAAGGTAATTTAACTACTTGAATTGTGATGCAAATATGTATGTACAGTACAGGCCAAAAGTTTGGACACACCTTCTCATTCAATGCGTTTTCTTTATTTTCATGACTATTTACATTGTAGATTCTCACTGAAGGCATCAAAACTATGAATGAACACATGTGGAGTTATGTACTTAACAAAAAAAGGAGAAATAACTGAAAACATGTTTTATATTCTAGTTTCTTCAAAATAGCCACCCTTTGCTCTGATTACTGCTTTGCACACTCTTGGCATTCTCTCCATGAGCTTCAAGAGGTAGTCACCTGAAATGGTTTCCACTTCACAGGTGTGCCTTATCAGGGTTAATTAGTGGAATTTCTTGCTTTATCAATGGGGTTGGGACCATCAGTTGTGTTGTGCAGAAGTCAGGTTAATACACAGCCGACAGCCCTATTGGACAACTGTTAAAATTCATATTATGGCAAGAACCAATCAGCTAACTAAAGAAAAACAAGTGGCCATCATTACTTTAAGAAATGAAGGTCAGTCAGTCCGGAAAATTGCAAAAACTTTAAATGTGTCCCCAAGTGGAGTCGCAAAAACCATCAAGCGCTACAACGAAACTGGCACACATGAGGACCGACCCAGGAAAGGAAGACCAAGAGTCACCTCTGCTTCTGCGGATAAGTTCATCCGAGTCACCAGCCTCAGAAATCGCAAGTTAACAGCAGCTCAGATCAGAGACCAGATGAATGCCACACAGAGTTCTAGCAGCAGACCCATCTCTAGAACAACTGTTAAGAGGAGACTGCGCCAATCAGGCCTTCATGGTCAAATAGCTGCTAGGAAACCACTGCTAAGGAGAGGCAACAAGCAGAAGAGATTTGTTTGGGCCAAGAAACACAAGGAATGGACATTAGATCAGTGGAAATCTGTGCTTTGGTCTGATGAGTCCAAATTTGAGATCTTTGGTTCCAACCGCCGTGTCTTTGTGAGACGCAGAAAAGGTGAACAGATGGATTCCACATGCCTGGTTCCCACTGTGAAGCATGGAGGAGGAGGTGTGATGGTGTGGGGGTGTTTTGCTGGTGACACTGTTGGGGATTTATTCAAAATTGAAGGCACACTGAACCAGCATGGCTACCACAGCATCCTGCAGCGACATGCCATCCCATCCGGTTTGCGTTTAGTTGGACCATCATTTATTTTTCAACAGGACAATGATCCCAAACACACCTCCAGGCTGTGTAAGGGCTATTTGACCAAGAAGGAGAGTGATGGAGTGCTGCGGCAGATGACCTGGCCTCCACAGTTACCGGACCTGAACCCAATCGAGATGGTTTGGGGTGAGCTGGACCGCAGAGTGAAGGCAAAGGGGCCAACAAGTGCTAAACACCTCTGGGAACTCCTTCAAGACTGTTGGAAAAACATTTCAGGTGACTACCTCTTGAAGCTCATGGAGAGAATGCCAAGAGTGTGCAAAGCAGTAATCAGAACAAAGGGTGGCTATTTTGAAGAAACTAGAATATAAAACATGTTTTCAGTTATTTCACCTTTTTTTGTTAAGTACATAACTCCACATGTGTTCATTCATAGTTTTGATGCCTTCAGTGAGAATCTACAATGTAAATAGTCATGAAAATAAAGAAAACGCATTGAATGAGAAGGTGTGTCCAAACTTTTGGCCTGTACTGTAGTTGAACTACCAGCAAGCTACTGCAAAATGCAAACTATTAGTTTAATTTTATGCAGCACTACTCCCAAAAGAATGGCCCATTTCAGAATAATGTATATTACAATACTGGACTATAATTATTGATGCATTAAAGTGTACTGTCGCTTACTCCATACACTGCTAGCTTGTGAATTCCCCTGTTATCTCATCTTCACCTATAATAATACATCACATTATATTTGTTGATTATATTTTATATTATTTATCTGAATAAGCAAAGTAACTTCAGTTATCAGATGAATGTAGTTGAGTAAAAAGAAGAATATTTACCTCTGAATTGTAGTGGAGTAGAAGTATAAGGCAGCAGAAAATGGAAATACTCAAGTGGATTTCAAGTGTCTTAAACTTGTACTTGAGTAACTGTACTAGTTACTCTCCACTAATGAATCAAACACACCCACGATCAGTGTTCAAACTGTAACTGTTGGACTGCAGATCAAACACGTATTCTTCAGCTTGGTGACTGTTGTTTTCAGAGTCGGTCTACTTTCCCATGGTACCATACAGGGAGGAATCCAGTTCAATATCATTATGTTGGGTGAAGCCCGTTTGGGAGCCAAGCCAAGCCCTTGTGTCCCACTTCAAATCTGAAATATGACTAAATGTTGAATGCATGACTCATCAAATTAAATACTCAGAATTATGACTCATGGGTAATGAGAAGGGTGGGAGGAAACTCTTTGATTTGTTTGCAGTATTTTTCTTTCCATGCTTTTCTATCTTTAGAAGTAGTGCGGTGAACACATGAGCGAAGTAGGATGTACAATCACTTACACATACTTCACCCTTATTCTGTTTCTCACGTGCAGAGCTAGAAAACTGAGCCATCATTCATTAACCCTCTCACTGATACACACACACACACACACACACACACACACACACACACACACACAGATGTGACTTGTCAGTGTTGCAGTACTGTTTACTGATTTCCAGAGCAGTGGAATCCTGCCCAAGCTGCTCCTGCCCTTGACAAACAGAGTAAACCCTCAGTAAATCTGCTGCTATTGTGCTGCACAATCTTCTCACTGAGAGCCATTAATACTACAGACTAATACTGGCTTTCCCAGTTGATTTATGATCATGGTGTGTGTGTGCATGTGTGTGTGTATGTCAAGCAAGGCCACAGTCTTCCTTTAAAGGTAACTTATAACCTGTGGAATATGTTGAGTGAAGTAGCATTCCTCCTTTTATTCAGTTACATTAAAATGAGACTAAAGTTGGTTGATAAGAAAAAGACGCACCTTTGCTCAATTCAGTACACTCAGGGGTTTTGCTGCTACTACCTTACTAGGTCTAGTATGACAAGAAGATAATGTTAGCAAACATTAGCTAATGTTAGATGGTGATTAAGTCAGTTTGCTGACATAATGATTCTTTTCTACCTGTGCTAGTTTTACTACAAATTAAACACATTACATCTACACATTAATCTAAGAACCTTTCAGCTATTGTCTGATGACGATAATGGCCAACGGCCAACATTTTGGGAGATACATTGTACAGAACAAAGAAACAGCTCACACATTTCAAAACAGGTGTGTAGAAGAGGGACGAGTAGGACACAATTTGCAGACAAAATCCTGCACACTGTCTAACTTGCAAAAGAAATACATTTATTGCAATGTTTTGGGGTTGAGACCTTCATCAGGCAAACAGGTCTTCATCAGGTTTTCTTGATGAAGATCAAAATACTGAAACATTGCAATAAAGTTATTTCTATTGCAAGGCAGAAAGTATGTGGGAGCTTTTCTGCAAATGGAGATCCTGTGTAGCCAGAGGATATCGGGGCCGAGACTTCCTCCTCCGTACACAGCTTATTGTCTACAGTTTGATTACCAACTTGAGACGGGTCCAGACAATATTTCCGCTAATCTCTATAGACATATATCTGCAAATGAGTGCAGATGAGCTAGACAGAGGCTAATAAAAGCTCAGTCTTCTTCAGAGGATTGCATCAGCCAGAGCATATTGCCTCTTTTGTTTCGACAAGGACTGTTTACCTGAAGGCAACCAAGGCCTGCTCAAATGTCAATTGGTCAGTACTACTCAGACTACAAACCTGAATGCTTCCGATACCAAAATCCTGTACCACTGCCTACAGAATCTGCATTCAGAGAGAGATATCTGTTTATAGAGATTAGTGAAACATGACAACGGTTGTATCCCAAAATCAAATGGAAACAACTTTGTCTTTTCCCACCTTTGTTTCCATTTACTCACACTCTCTTCCTTTTTCCTCCCTCTTTCCCTCGTCATCCAGGTGAGACAAAGACCACAGTGTCTCCCTACATCTCAGGCGGGGTCAGTGATGGCCAGTGGCACTCAGTTCAGCTCCATTACTACAACAAGGTAAGGAACTTTGTCACCCAACTGATTGCTGCACCTTCTCCTCCAGTAAAAATGTACTTCTCAGTGCTTGAAAGGGAAAACGTGAGTTGCTGAGCCTTCAGTTTGCTTTGGAGAGTTTGTAATATAGAAAAATCAAGTCCATATAGTGTGCAGCCCATTGAGATCACAGTTAGCCAGTGTTGGGCGTTGATAAGTTCTGAAATTGTACAGTGGGAGTAAAGTGTATGAAATGTGGCTTTCTTTGAGGCTACAGAGGCAGTTGACCTTGACTGTTGATTCAGGAGATTATCTTAACGGTGCAAGCTTGACTAATGACGTTAACTCTGACACGGGCTCACCCCACTGCCTTAGCCTTTGACGCTGAATTATAGTATAGCTTCTTTGAAAGAAGTGCAGGGGCCTGGCTCTAGCTTCAAGGGTCAAAAGTTCATCAACTGTATTTTCCAGCTACATGTCATACCAGTAAGTATGTATATATGTCTGAGTCGAGAGACCATGCATACTTTGATAGCTGCACAATCTCAATTGAATCTTAATCACTAAGAAGACATCATAGTTTGTTTCATTCGTGGTGTCTAAAGTTGTTTTTCAAAAGGTTCCCACGCTGGTCTTCTTGCCTCTCCACGAAGTCCGATCTCAGACAAGAGCCGGCGATTATTTCACAACCTAGCTCATGTATCCACTTCACTTGTAATATTATATTAGAAGGGCTTACATTGCAGTCAATTGCTGGTGTTAACTTCCAACAAACTTCCAGAGCCTGCGGCCATTGTTATTATGACATTAAACCAGACAGGAAATAAGATAACGCTTGTCCTCTAAACACGTCGGTCCTATAGCATCTGCTTGGTTATTATTACTATTCATCATCTTTCCTACATGAAGCCCTTTATATCCTTTAAAGCTAATATGCTAACTGTTTGCATGTGCTATGCTTTTTTCTGATACGAGACATCGAACCCTCTTTTCATTTACTTTTCCCCCCTCTATCTCTTTCTGGCTCTTCCTTCATGTATCTGATGCTGAAAGCCGTAGCATCACTGGCCTGACCCAAGACTTCAGCATTGTATTTCAGCAGCACCTGTGTTTTGCAACTTGTACCCTGCTTCTTGGCCTAACAGCCTAACGCTAGCCTACAATGCACACCCTCTCACATTTCACAGGTTGTTCGCCTCTTTCTTGTGACCCGGTATAGAGCCCATAGCATACTCCACAGCCTTGACAGGGACGTTTTCATCAAAGGTGATGAATCAGGCTACCATGCTCTACCATGTTAGCTGGAGGGTCACATGTGTATCTATTGTTGGAGGTGTATTTAGGCTGCAAGTCTGCCTGTTGAACAGCACTGCCTTTATGATGCCAGAGACAATGGCTTAAACCTTGTAGTGCTTTGTTAACATTGCTGCAAGGCCCCTTGCTACCACAGGTATTATTTGCAGAGTGAGTACAGTCTGTTGGCACTTTGTTTTGTTTGTCTGTTAGGTTGTCTAGTGTTTGTAGGGATGTCTCCATGGAAACAAGAGATTAATCGTACATCCAAACAGATTTCCTGCTTTGCTCCTGTTGTGTGCAGTTTACTTTCCTGATTTATTTAGCTTTAGTGATCCCATAGCCTTCCACTTTACTTCAGTGACATGCAGATACAAGCAGTAAGCACACACATGTATTACACCAGTATTATGAGTGTATCCTGGTGTTATTAGTGTGTAAAGCAGGGGGATGTGTGCGTTCCATCAATGTCAGTCTTAATGCACACCACTGATTTGCAAAGCCGGTGACACATTCCGTTAAATTAGCCCGAGGCCGACTGTAGCGCTGACACAGGGTCAGCTTTTCTTCATGCGTTGAATGATCAGAAGTCGGACTGACTGATGGTAATTTAATCCCACATCAGTTGCTGAAGGGCTTAGTGGAAATGTATATGGCAGAAAGCAGTAATGTTCTCACAATAGATCAGATGTGTTGACATGTGAATGTATGGACGTGAATGAAGGTACACATGTGTCTGCCGTGCATGCAGGAGCGCTCACACACACATTTGTGTGTAGGTAGCATTGCTAGCATAGCACAGATAGAGACTAGACAGAAGATCAGAGCCTAATTCTCAAACAGTGAGGTATTCCAGATTCATGTCATGCAAACACATGACACCTCTCAGTCCATCTGTTATCTTGCATGGAGCTTACAGGGGTTTTAGCTATAAAGAGATTTTGGTCAAGATGGCGACTGGTGATTGATATATTGTAGGGCTGTCCTGAACACCAGTTTTTGAGCATCAAAGCTTCAGTGAACAATATCCACTATTAATCAAAGCTTTGAGGAGGGTAGGGGGCTGAGGGGGTAGTAATGAGAGATGAGGACATAAGTTAGCATGCAGATCTCAGTAACCTTAGCCATAATAGCTAGACATACAGAATACTTTGTAAGACAGCTGTTGCTTACAGTTTTTAGGTTGCCATGTTCGTCGTAGATTTGTGATATGCCAGTTTCCCGAGGCATATTTTTGAGTTGCTTTGTGTTGGAGGTATCATCTGTAGAGATGTCTACCTTTTCTCTGATATAATGGAACTAGATGGCACTCGGCTTGTGGTGCTCCAAATGCCAAAAAGTATCTGAAAATTTCTACAGCAATGTCTCTCCAGAAATCATGACCCAGCTACTCAAGATAATCCACAGACCATCTTGTGAGCAGTTTCATGTACGAACTATTTTTTCTACTGAACTACACCTGCCAACTATATCACTTTATCTAGAAGGAACTGTGTGTAGTGCCATCTAGTTCCATTATATTGGAGAAAAGGCAGACATCTCTATGGACGATATCTCCAACACTCGTCAACTCACACTAGAACAAGCTAGAATACTAAATAGCGCTACAGGTAAAAGGAAAAATATGTATTTTTGATTTGGGGGTGAACTGTCCCTTTAATATTAAACACCGTAACTGTCAGGTCTAACAGTTGCATAGCTAGCATTAACTCTGCTTCGTGGTTAAGCTAATATTAGTTTGCTAAAAGAAGTTATGACCAATTTAGGTTGAAGAGTAAAGGTTAATTGCTTAATCAAAATGCTCTTAATTGAAGATGAAAACTTAATTTTAAATTGTATTTCACAGAAAATAACACAACGTACCTCAGACAACAAAATATTTTGCCTCTTATGTTAGCCCAAGTTAAACTTAAACGTATAATGCAGGTTTTTACTAATTGGAGAATAATGCATCTGTAAATTAAAACAAGTTGTGCCACAACACAAATTACATACTTACATAAAGATTTGTTGTTAGTGGATATTGACACTCAGTAAATATTTGCCAGATGTTAATGTTGCGTACAGTAGCTAACTGAACTAGCTAACAGACAAAACTAATGTTAGCTTACTAAATTAAGACCAATTTAGACTGAAGAGTAAACAAGGTGACATGGAATATGGTCCATCTGTGACCTGACATATTATGTAAACCAGTAAGATATTGAAATGTATTTCATAAAAATAACACCACACATTTCACGCCATTATGTCCATAACGTTAGCTTAAATTACGTAACAGTGTCAGTTAGCATGAAATGAAATTTACTATTTCTCCATGTATGTATATATGAATATAACAAGGTGATAATATATGGTTGAGCTCTTTTTCTTTGACAGTTATGTTACAACTTATGATGCTTGTGAATTTATTTTTGGGATTGTTTTTGATTGAACAGCACCACAGATATTTACAATTCAACCAATTAACCAAAGACATTTGTTGCAACCTGAATCTCTAGTTTAAAACTAGCTAGTAGTTACCAAGAACCTCGGAGGGACTACCTAATAATACTGTAGATTCACAAATAGCTGCTGCAACCCAATCCAGGGTTGTTCATCCCACATGAGCCCCCAGTAGCTTTTTAACGGTCCCAACGGCACACTCACACAATACACGCACGCAAAGACGGTGATTTATTAGGTCAGATGATGAGGCGGTTGAAGTTGTGCAGAGTTGTACGGGTGCCCCCTTTTAAAGCCGCTGCTGCTCTCCTCAGAAGAACCAGGGTGCCTGTGCTGAAAAACAGAGGTGAAAGGTCGGGGGGAGGGTTGGCATGACAACAGACGTGGACTTGCTATTGTTGCAATGATCTAGGTCGGTTGGAAATCTGTCTGTGCGTGTGTTTGCACCCGTGGGGGGCAGACAAATACAGAGCTACTCTGAGTGTGTGTGTGTGTGTGTGTGTGTGTGTGTGTCAGTGTGTTTTTCAATGTGTCCATATGTGCGTACTGCTATTAGAAATGTTCCACAATAGAAGTGGAAGGATAAAGACATTTTTGAAATTCCATGGTGTAGGGGTCTCAAGGACAGTCGAATGTGTCAGCGAGGCAAACCTAAACAGGAAAGACACACACACAAACACAGATAAAGCGCGTAGTTGGGTATTCTTGGAGCAGCAGGAGGTTTTGTCTTGGGTTTTGATGTGTGCTGGCTACAGGATGTGATGTCTCTTGTCGCAGGAAATGATGTTATTGAGCTGGACACTGGGGCCGGATGTCAGCTGTATCATGATTATATCTGCCTGGCCACCTGCATAGATTACATCAGGATACAAAAGATGCCAAAAAGACAAGGGATGCTTGATTTATTTTAGGTCCATTGATTTTTACCATGACCACAGCCAGTAGGGGATTAGTCATTTTTAACAAGGGGGCGGACACATCCCCACCCCCTACTCCCCCATCTAATGTCTACATTGCATCATCATTCAGTGATTCAGTGCTTTTTCACTGGTGTTGCACCTTGTATGATGTGATAATTGATTGATATAAAATACTTTCCATGCTCTCAGTTCAGATATGCGTGAGCATGTTTGCACAAAAGATGCCCTTGCTTTGTCTTGTAGTGGTGCTCCACAATGCCGCATTTAATAATCGTCAAGGTCCTGGAACCATTGATCAGACATACTGGTTTTGAAGAATGAACATGTAACAGTCTTTCTATTCTTGATTAGAAGCTTTGTTTTCGC